TTCTCTTTTTTTAAACTAACCACCACCATCTAGTTCAGGGTAAACATTTCTAGTGGTCACACAAGTTGACATTCTCATCAAGAGTGGAGAAGGGTTCCTTTCTCCCCACAGCCCTGTCAATAACAAGATCTGTTATTGGTTAATTTCTTGGTGACAGCCATTCTTTCTGGAGATGGAATCTCAATTTTGTTTTAATTTATACCTCTCAGTGATCAGTGATGGGTCGGTACTCAACCTGTGTGAGCAAGCCAAGCAGCTTCTGTCAAATTTTCCTCTTCTTCTTCTTTTTCCAGATGGGAGAGATCTACATGTAGTAATGGACTTCAGTACATTTAAGGAAAATTAGGCAAACATGTGACTCACTGGTTGTTTCTTGGGGGGGAAAAAGGACCCCAAGTAGTGATCACCAAAAGTAGTAACTGTGATAGGCATGAATTCAAAGGAGGTGAAAGTTTCAAACTTAAGGACGGAAAAAATGTTCTTGTAATATTTTTAACCTCATGGAAACATCAGCTTATGTGCCTTAACACTTGCCTTCTGCTTTCCAAGGGTGGTGGCGCATGCCCAGTGTGGGCTGGAGGAGGACCCTCTGAGGGTCCTCTGTGCTCTGTCTTCTGCAAGGAACTTCTGATGCTGAGGGAGTACCTTCTGCTTCCCAGGTCTTCTCGGGGATCATTTGCTTCTTTTCAGATTAGACCTGGGCTGAACCTAATTTGAACCTGGGCCACTGGAGATATTTTCCTAACAAGTATTCTACAATTGAGAATAAGGAATAATTTCCATAGAAAATCACACTAAGCCTGGCTTGATGAAGCACAGCTGTAACCAGGGCTTTTGACAGCCTTGCAATTTCTGCAAATGGTTCATAATTGATTGCCTTCTCTCTCTTTAAGGGTGCCTATTACTGTCACAGCTCTTTGTGTGACCCTGTCAGCCTTTCCTGTGTGGAGGATATCCCCCCCCAGTCTTATTGGCAATTAGCATGTGCTATTGTAATAGTTGGAAGTTTGAAAGGAATAAACAGTTTTCTTTGGGTGAAAGGGTTGAAAGAGTTCTGGGTTTGTTTGGGGCACTTACGGTGTGTTAAGTGGTCTCTGGCAGCCGTGTTGCTCATGTTCTGTGTTCTGCTCTTGGAGCTGGCTGTGAAGAAGTGGCACGGGTAGCCCCACAGTCCCCACATCTGTCATAACCTGGTGCCTCTCCAGAGTGGGCAGACTCACAGCATGGGGTGAGCGTCTGACGGAAGGGGTGATTCTTCCCCAGCCACCGTGCTGCTTTGGCAGAAGAGAGTGGTGGCGCTCGGAGTCCTTGTGGATGTGACTGGGAAGAGCAGTTGAGGATTTTTTTCATTTCACTGCCTGGGGATGAGAGAGAGAACGTGAGCCTTCCCCACTTCTCGACAGCCGGCTGTGGATGTGATCCTTTCTTCCAGAGGGAGCAGCTCTCTTTGCACGTCTCCCTTTTATGACCATCATGTAAGTAACGAAGGCTGGATTTTCATGGGTGAAGATTTTGCTCCAAATGTAGGCATGGCTTCCTTTTTTTAGTTGAATATTGATTTTACTCTAAAAATGTCTCAAGACTGTTATGCAGATGGGAAGATGTGTCTCTCTTTCCAAGGGATTCTGATGGTAATCTGTGCGTTCATGTTAGCTTAGGTTTGGAGAACTTTGTTTTGTATTCTGCTTTTTCTGTGGCATTGTCAACTTTTCCTTTCTTATTCTGATGTCTCTAAGTTGATGTCTGAAATAGTTTTGTCCATTTGTATTACAAAGATACCACAAAGGCCCATGAAAATATTGACTGTGTAAAATATGTCTGAAGAGAGAGAGGAAGAATTTCAATATAGCAAATAATTCTACGTGTATACTTTTTCCTTGGAGTATAGCGTATATTGATTGGGCTTAATGCTATAAAGGAAAATCCGCAAAAATGAAACTCAGTATCTCCGAGGTAAGCAGAGTTTTTAATTTAGCTAATTCTGATTGAATAATTTTAAAGCTTTTAAGAATTTTATGTAATCACCTAGTGTAGCTTTGGCAGTGATTATTTTTGCAATTTGTAGGCGGTGTGTTGCTAGCACAGAGAGCATTGGGAATCTGGAGACATACAGCGTGACAGCTGTGTGTTGTGCTCTTTGTAATTTAAGCATGTTTAAGATGTATTTTGTCCTGTTTATTTTTTCAAAATAGAAGAAAAGAATGTATATTAACGATTAGGTTTTTAGCACACGGTGTGAACATAACTTGCATTTAATATTTAACTCCTACCCACTTAGCTCGACCTTTTGTGGTTTTCACATGCATTGCTTTTAAGAGTTTGCATATCTAAGAAGCTAAGGAAAAGGTTGTTTCTTAGACTCTATGATTAGCTTTCCAGCATTTCCAAGTGTACACTTTTCTTTGAGTTTCCCACATAATCTGAAGGCCTTTTGTATTATTTGAAGTTTTTGCTGCTCAAATTAAAATATAATTTATAAACAATAGTCTTCCTACATGGTACAGATCAATAGGTTAATATAATCACGATGCTTTCCTTAAAACTAAACATAGCTATTTCTCATTACAAGCCATCCAACTTATTTCCATTTGATTGAATAGGGAGGCTATTCTCAAAACAAATACTCTGTTCCTGAACGTGATTTAGAGTGTGATGTTCTCCACTAGTAAGACAGTCTTTCATCATGACTTAATTCCAGGCAATCTTTCTTATAGGCAGTGATTAATATATTAGGAAGAAGGAATGACCTGATATGTGCCCTCAGAATTCATACCCTGGCTCACTAGGATTTACCACTGTGTGATCTGGGACAAGTTATTCAACTTTTGGAAATGATTAAGCTCTAAATGCCCTTCCCTGACGTGTTTCCACAGTGCGTGCTTTTGAGTGATTTCCTCTTCAGCTCATTTAATGGCGCCTCTTCTTCTAGAAGGTTTATGGTCAAGAAAACATGTAGATATGTTTCCTAATAAATGTTAGTGAAATTAATACATGTGCAATCAAGCAATCTTCACTGCCTACTCAGTCTTCTGGGAGTTGCCAGTGGCCAAAACTTCCTGAACTGTTCGGTGAGATGAAAAAGAATTAGAACCCAAGAACGCTAGGAGTTAGGTCCTCTTGGCTTCTGTGCTGTACACGAAGGCAAAGCTTGCCCACCTTTCCGTGAATTTTTCTAATGCATAAGGTCTTGAACTGTGAGTTTTCC